AAAATCCAGAGACCGCAACCGCTTAATAACTCACAATGACCAAACACGAAAATCGAAAAAGTTGTGACAAAAGTATTTAGAAAATGCTGCCGAAAAAAGTTCAAGGAAAACTTCTGGCAACGGATTCCATAGCACACTTTTCGGGGCACTCAGAGGCTACTCGACTGGCTTACCAACGCTTATTAACGGTGGGGTAAAAATATAAATTAATAGGTGGACACCGCTGGAAAAACTCACGTCTTATGCCCCAATCCATCATTTTGTAGTCTTTTTCCGGACTTTTCTTGGTTGACGATTCTACTATTAAGTGGATGACATAGACTCCTCCTCCACAACAGACGAAAATCACTTTGCTGGTACACAGCAGATTCAATTGAACGGCTTCTAATTTTGACAATTTTCTGTATGCATGGTGGGCGGTGGAGGAGGAGGCGCGACAGCACCCAACGATGGGCGCCCAGCCTTCATCCTTCCATCGTTTTATCTTCAGGAAAAACTGTTGCCGCCGTCGCTGTTTGCCGGTGAACTTTTCTCGCCTGCCTCAAATACAACTGCGATGTATCGCGGTTTTCCCGAAAGCGCCGCGTCGTGCTTTTCCGAGCAGCATTACTTCATGACTGAACCTGACACTGAATGTGAACCTAATGCCTCCGCTGTTGCCCCAAACACAATGCGGAAAATACGGAATTCGGCTTTTCGTCGGAAAACTCTGTCGGCCATCGGCATCGCATACGGTTTGAGTGTGTCCAGAGAGAATAAAAGATATGATGAACAGAAAACGACCAACTTTTTTTTAATATTCGAAATATATAACGGTGCATTATATTATGATCCATATCGGTTTCAAGCTAGTATAAATATTACAATTTTCCGAAAAATTCCATCTAAATAAAGAAATGTTTGACTAAGTTTAATTTCTTCAGCAAAACGGATATAGTTCTTTGAATAACATGGCAAAAAGTGTATCCTTAAGTACAATGAAGTTTGTTGGATATAAATTTGTACTTTTATAATATTTTTTTACTTTTTCTTCTTGAATTGGTTTTTAAGTGTACGTTTATCTGTGTGAGTCGTACGGAGAAGTGTGAAGTGTACGGCGTAGATAACAGACAATGGGGATGTGTGTTTGTGGGGAATCCCCCATCACGCCCCACCTTCCTCTCTTGACTCACCACCTTTAGCACTTGAACCGGCGGTACATCGACATTGCTAAGGACACTGACAACGCTCGCAAAAACAACAATAACATGGATCAACAACAGAAGCGACCACGGGTAACCACAGTCAAACTTATTTAACCGTAACTCATCTTTGGTGTATAAAAAAAAATATTAAAAAAAAATTGTAATTGTAATTGTAATTTATAGGTAATATAAAATTACAATAAATAATAGACTTAAATACTATTGTAATAACCGTCTCATAAATTTACAAAAAATTATTAGCAGTGAAATTATTATTTATAATAAGCATATCTGACTGATTTTCGAGTTTGGTCAAAAAGAATGAATTGGTTTGTCCTATAGCATTATTTGCTTTTTTTCAAATATAGTTTCACGATCATAAATGTATTACAACAGGGGACATTATACTAAAAAAAAATTAAAAATGTATATATTCATAGAATTATAATTGTTTTTAAAATGCGTTGTGTTTCACTGTACTTCACATTTTTAAAGAAAGCACATTCGCTTTTCTTATTGGTAAACGTTCAAGTGACCAAGAGTGCGAGATTGCGGGAAATAGTCGGGTCGCTATTCCTGTTGCTGACCCACCAGGTGGGCGACGATGCGGCCGCAAAAGGTACGCCCATTATCCTTGACAGGACGAACGCTCCGAAGAGAAATTGACGCACGCCAGAGACACCAAAACAAATCGAAAAGGGTGGAATGGGTTAAGTCACTCTGCGTGGAACTCCCCACAGACACGCAACGAAACAGTTTGAAGTTTATATCCTACAACCCGAAAGTGAGCAATACAAATTTGATAAACACAAACATTCGCATTAAAAAAGACCAAAGAGACAAAAATGTCAAAATTCTTTGAATAATTTTATTATATGTTTTTAAGATGCTCAAAAACATGTATAAATAAAAATATGTGCTAAGTTATAATAAATCTAAAATTTGGTCAACTTTTTTGAAATAGCGATGACCATATTTAAATTGATTATATTACCTTTGATAAAAATTTCAACTAAAAATATTAAGTACCTAGTAACGGGATAACTTTTTTGCTGCATTTATATTTATTACCCATTGTGCAACAGAAACCCAGACAAACCAAAAAGGAAATTAAATGAAAAGCGAAGCCCAAATCGACGTAAGCCAAGCACAAAGGATACCCAAGAGCGAATGAGACAGAATAATACTAGAGAGAGAGTCGTGAAGTTGCTCTCTTTCTGCTATAAATATTGAATATATATTAAGAGAAAAACGTATTACCCGAAAAGAGAAAACCCAACGTCAACAAGCAATTTAACATTTATCTGATAAAAAAACGAAAATAAACAATTTCAGACAAGTGCAAATCTTTCAGCATGATAGTGAAGAAAATTCAGAAGAATGAAGGTTTGTGCATTCAGTTTTATCGTTGGTTGTGTTTTCCTTATCTTAAAAAACAATGTAGTACCTAAAAAGTGCATTAGAAAACATCTCTATTTATAGATAAGATCTAAAAAATTACTCTATCCTTATTGCCTTGACAAAATATTTTGACCCAAATTGATTTCTAAATAATACGATAAGCCATGATGAACAATTCACCTGCTTTTTAAGTAAACATTCGCTTCGGTACACTGACACACAAAAGTAGGCAAGAAGAAAAAACAGAAAGACAATTAGCAATATACGCGCGGACCTCGCACTATGGGAAAACTTACTACTTTTTTGTGGCATTTAATAAAAAATTAAAAACAAAGCAAAGTTAATTGGTTTTGTTTTTTGAAAGTCATTAAGAAACACATGCCTGGATCCATTCTTATTAACAGAAATTGTAGTTTTGCGTTTTTTCCAATAAACCAAAAAGCTAACTCTTTTTTTCAACACTCGTTTTTAATTTTAGGGGAAAAATTGAATATTTTACTATGTATATTAAAAAAATAAAAAGTGCGCCTAATACTATACGCATTTTGACAAAAACGAAATACTCTACAAAATTAAAATAGAAGAATAGAATAGAATTGAAGATACTTTGCAGCTCTTTTATTTAGATATAACTTTTATAAAATTAAGGAGTAATGCAAGGTAAATAAATAATTCAATAAAAAAAACCCTTTTTTTCGAAAAATGTATGAAAACACTATGTATTAAAACACTCTTATTTTAACGAGTTTTAAAATATTAGTTTTGACCAAAAGAAGTGCATATTTTTCCCATGGTGTGAGACAACAATGTAAGTAAAGTGCGGTCGCAATTTACATTTTACACCTTTAGAATGGCTCAGGGGACTTTAAGAAGAGGAAGCGTTGCCAGTGTCATTATTATGAGAGGTTCGGGTCGGGTCAAATTGTGGGTCGTCGCTATGCTGAGAAAAATGATTACTGGACTTCTTCTGTCGGTTTCAGTTATATTTTCAATGATTTTAGATTAATATTATTAAGTTTTATCATAATTTTTGTGAAATTATTACTGCTATAAATAATATGTAATGGCTATAAGAAATGCCTATCTTTTTATTTTCTCTATTTAGAGTATTTATGTGTACATTTCTTCGTCTTTCCAATATTAAATCTTGATCACCGAGAATCTTTATTGACGCGAATTCTTTAAAGCGAGTATTTTATATCGTAACGACGTATGTATTTATAGTACCAGCTCGTAAAATATTTGAGTTGAAAGTGACTTTTGTTGATACATATATTTGAACGTGTTATTTCAATCTTGAGTAAATATACCCGCAAAAAAAAAAAACTCGCTTCTTCCCCAAATATTCAATATTCTTTATGCTTTCTATTCTTTGAAGTACTTTGCCTTATGTTTTCCTTCTTACATAAAATGAACAATTTCACTAAAAAGAAAATAATTAGTAATTTTTATGACTTTGTCACAGACAAAATCTGACTTGAGCTAACACATAACTCAAATTCTAAAAGTTTGACTACCAAAAATCAAAACAAATTAAAATGGAATCATTTGGATTAAACTTCTAGATATTTATTCATGAATTTTATTTGTGGAAGCTAACACACAACTGCAGGTAAATGTTCTAAAACACATATCCACCCCTTTAGTCCTTTGATGATTGTCATTGCTAAAAGGGTTTATGAATATGCTAAGAATTTGGGTCTAGGATTGTGAACAAGCATTTAACTTCAAAGAATGTAGAAAATGAAATAGCAAAGTAACGGCAAATGCACACTTTGGCAAGAAATTGTTAGAGGCACGGCAGACGGATAAATAAAAAAAAAAACATTTTTTTGGCCGATATTTTTTAAATCAAAAAATGTAAACAAGTTGAATCAGCAACTTACGTAATTTGTCATAAAAATCGTCTTTCATGTTTAGTGGACTTAAATTTTTTTTTTTGCTCAAGCTTCTTAATTCAGGTCACGTATTTATGTACTTCAGTTGCAAAACATTTAGATTAGTTTAATTAAAGTTTAATGCCCGTTTTTCGAGCTTATTGTAAGTTGGAATCCTTCTGTGTAAATTCAAATAATAATTTAAATCACTTTCAAAAGAAAAAAAACCGCAGCCGTAAAAATTCCGTCACGACGATAAGAAATGCTAAATGACTACTGAGCCAAGTCGATACTCCTGCGAAAATATGAAATAACTAAATAGCAACAGTCGACATGTTTTGTTGTTGTTCTTGCCCTTCTTGTTGCTGTCAGTGAGTCTGATGTTGAGTGAGTGAGCGAGCATAATTATTGATAAAACAAAACTAATATAAGCCTGCTAAGAACATTGCGGGAATATTTATGAATGAAGTGGCAATCCCCCCACAAAGGAAAATTGATTTAAAATGGTTGGAAATCAGGCAATATACAAAGCACTCACCTCGCGACGTTGGATGGTTCATGAGTATCGATAGCGGGCACTCGTCATCGTCAAGTATATATTCAGTTCCATCGCTGTTGACCTACATTTGGTATAGAGTAGTATTAGAATGCGTTATGAGTATGCAGAAGATATAGAGCTTTTTAGAGGTATCAATTATGGATCTTATCAAATTCGTTTATCCTTTACTAACTGACTGTATACACCCAAGAAATAAACGTATATTGGAAGGATAAAAGTAAATTTAGGAAAATCTTGTATGGATAAAAATAATAAATAAGATACAACAATGTTACGGTACAAAATCAAATCAAAATTATTTATAAATGTAAATGGAAAAATAAATTGGTAAAGGTAAACTTGAGCTACAACTATAAATCGCTCCACATCAATCCCTTTTACTTATTTTACTCATCACACCTGAACCAGGCAATAATGCAGGGGATCGGCCTTCTCCAGTCCGTATTTTGTGAGCATTTCTCGGACAACCGCCTGCGCACAGTCGCGAATTGAGAGCAGCAGCGTCTTGTAGGGCACATCTTGGCACAGGCTCTCGCCGTAAATCTTTAGCGTTCCACCGGTATCCGGACCACCATCCCTAGAACGAAACTGTTGCAGCTTCTTCTCGAGCTTCTGTTGACGCCGACGACGCATCACGGCCTCCGGGTTTGAGATCGATCGTGTGAACGAAGTTTCCGGAAGTTCCGTGTACAGTTTTCCGGCCACGGCATCGCTGCCATCACCGCCGCTTCCTCCAGCATTGCCATTCATGTGAGCTGATCCCGAGGATCCACCAATACCATTGCCCAACCCCAAATGACTGCCATTGGAGGTGGGCGGATCGGAGCTAAGCTTGGCCATCTTCTCCTTTTTCTTCTGCTCCTTTTTCTCGCGCTTCGAGAGTTTTCGCTTGAAGTTAAGATCTGTTTGTTCGATGGGCTACAGATAGTAGTCAAAAGGTTAGTTTTGATTGGATCAGTTGCTAAGCGATAAGTACTCACAGTGGTCTTCTGGTCTATATTCTTAAGCAGGAATCGACCCTCGCGATCGTCGATGTGCCAATTGAGCTGCACCAGCAGCGGCTTCTCGTCGGCATTCAGTCTGCGCTCCTCACCATTGGCATGTACTTCGTAAAGGGCGTAATTGGGCACGGATAGCATCCGCATATCGGGACGGAATTTCTCAATGAGTGTGTCTAAGGGAGATATGTGAATGAGTTCAGTTTTTAATTTACAAAATTTAGAATTGATTTTTTAAGGTTAATAAGAATGTGTAAGTTATTTTGACAGAACGCGCGAAAATAAAAAAGAAAACTTAAAGACCAAATAGGTCCAGACGTTTTCGAGTTAAAAGGTATTTGTTTATTTACATTTTATTGATTTATTTATGAATATGTTCATTACAATTTGTAGAGATACTCTTTAAAAAGAATGCGAATGCTACTACCAATTTTTATCATAACTTTACCTATGACATCTGTGACGGTGGCATCGGAAGCCACGCGAATGCATTTGGTGGCCACTTTCTGGCCAGCATCTTGGAAGTAGAAGCGCATAACGCCATGGAAGAGCAGGTTCTGCGGTTAAAGTTATTACATTTTAATGAGTTCTTTATTTATTGACCAGCTGACTTACCTCGTCTGGCTCGGAGAGCGCAAACAAATCCAATCGATTGGCATTCCATTGCTGTATCACTGAACGAACTGCCTCGCGATCCAACATCTTCTTATCATGTGACATACTGTACAGGTTTTATTCGGGGTGGGGAAATTCTCGTCTCAGTTCTGGAAAAATTGGTCGTGTTGTGACTCCAGTGCGACGTCGTTTATGTTTTGTTTTGTTGGGGCTTTGACTGTCTGTAAACAACAAAGCGTACATTTTTGATAAAATTAGATTCTGGGTTTACAACTTCCATGAAAGCATCGTAAACGTAGGCGGAATTCGAAGCGAAAACTAAAAAGTTGGTGCAGATGTGGCGATCATTAAATTTTCGTTGCCAAATGTAAACACCGATGGATCAAAAACGGAGGAAAACTACTATTAAATATACGTCTTTGCACCTATAAAGTCTGATGTGGAAATCAAAATAAAATAAATCATGAATGACTGAACTTCGAGCTACATTTTATAAACAGGCAGTTTTACAACATTTGTTTTTACAACATATGGTTGAATATAATTGTTTCTGCTTTCATTAAATATTTAGAATAATAGATTGATTTTTAAAGTTTTATAATTGAACGAATGTTCGTTTTAAATCTAAATATATATTCTCCTTTTAATGTAAAATAGTACTAAATAATCTCTTATAAAAAATTATCATTAGCTTTCTCATGCGTTCTCGCAACATTCAGGGGTAATAAATGAAAAAGACCTTCTTGATTTATGATCGGTTGGGTTAACATTTCCGGAGAGTGGGCAATGATGGGTTTTCCTGGCACATGTCATCTACCACAAAAGTATATGACAATCAGCCGGCTCCTCTACAAGCCAATTAAAAGTTCCCTTACATGATCATATCTAACCAGAAATTCCCACACCAACTCTCTGCGCTCAGCGACCCTAAACAAATAACTTCATCAAAGCAGAAAATTTCAGTGCATTTGTACAAATAACCTCAAGACGTTATTTAGGGCGTGTTTCTCTGTTCGTTTGTGACTGGTGGAAGAAAACCTTCAGAGTTCAGCAAAGTTATTTCGAAGTGAAGTGATGTCAAAGAGCGGAACTATGCCTGAACTAAACTATTCCAACCCTCCTTTCCTCTTGGAGTTCTTTAAACTTTTTCACTTGTATCTGTTGGCATTATTTTTCCCCCGAGTTCTGTTGGTTGTTCTGTTTTTTGTTCCGTCTTATATAGGCAGTTTAATAACCGTCAGCGGTTCTGCTTGGGGGAACACGTCGTTGTGCACAGAAACTAGTCGATTTACAGACCAGTCGTTCTATAAGGAGGGTTCGAGGTGGAGGGGATGTGATGGTAACCGTTTATGCAAAGCTATTTTCACAATTTCCGCGAGGGCGTGCGTTGTTAGTAGAAATGTATTTCGAAAGGTTTCTTTAACCCGGGCTTTTAGAGTTATTATCAAGGTGTGGAAGTAGAGAAGTCCTCGCTGCATTCAAACGTGACCAAAAAATAGTTTCGTCAAAGTGCTTGGGTATTTTCGTCGTCCGTTTCCGAAATTGTGTTTCAATGGTTGCCAAGGCATGTACTTGTTTTCAGGGTTGATTGAACAATAAAGGGCAGGGGGATGCGTTGATAAATGAATTTTATTTGGACGAAATTGGATGCGGTTTTTGAATTATTTTTGGTAAGAAGTGCTTATATTTTAACTTACATTGTACTAAATACAAATATTTTACACAATAATTTCGTTAGATCTGTTTTGTGTATAATTATTTCCAAATTTTCTATGTTCTTTTGAAGGTTCAGTATATTCAGGTGTAATGCACTTTTCAGCCATATTTCTTTAAATGGTCTCTTAACATTATGGTTTATTTCTCAATCGTTAATCAACTATTATTACATGTATAATGTAATGCTAAAGCTTGTCAAAATTCTTAACAAGTTAAATGATGGACAAACGGAACAAACAATCCGTTCCAACTGAAAAGCAAACAAAAATATTTAAATTGCTTCCACAAAAAAGTGGGGTGGCGATTCCAACCACGGGAACTGAGACAAGCTCTGTAATTGGTGAGCAACATTATTAAAAAGACATAAAGGTGACATTTGATGTTGTTGTTGTTGTTGCCTTACTGCTGCTTTGGGAAAAGAAATGCGCCGGAAAAGATCGCGAGAGGCGAGATAATAAAACGAATTAAAAACGAGCCGGAAAACCGCAGCCAAATAAAAGTGTCGCTTGGTGGCTAAAAAAGAAACAAACGTAAAGAAGGCTATAAGAGAAGTACCGTAATAAAAGGCGCATAAGCAAAAACAAAGCCCATTGACAGAAGAAGAGGTGAATGTACGAAGACAACAAAATACAATACCCAGATACATTTACATTTACAGATGCAGGAACGGTTGAGGTTGAAATAATAATTTATACATTTTTTATCATTCATATAACTTAATAATTTTTTAATAATAATTTGTAATAAATTTTTATTAATGATAACATACTATACAACAATTCTTCGATTTTCCTTCTGATCTAAATATTTGGTTTCGCTTCTTTATAAATTTATTGAATCTAAACTATTACTTAAGTTTCCAGGAAATTGAAAATATTTTAAAAAGTCTGTTACAGTATGTTTAAATTACCCATTTTGGAAAAGTTGTAAATTTTGTAATGAGATTAATATTGATTAGAACTTCGTAACGATCGTGCCGGCTAATAAATTTGCGATTTCATATTGTTCAATGGATTCATATACCTGAGCCACAAATGATAACAGTAAGGATTTTTAAGAAATTGGAAAGCACTATTCTTATACTACAATATTATATGTTTGTATTATTGCAATGCTATCAATTTAGCCGCATCTGTAAATTTTTAGATATAGATGCAAAGTTTCTGTGAAGCTTTAAACCTCACGAAGTGGGTCTGGGACATGTAAAATTGTTGCTGGCCTAGGCATAACTAAAAGTTTTTTCCCTCTAGCTGTGTTTTTTTTTGTGCAGCTGTTGTCGCTTTGGCACCTGCAGCTCGGCAATAGACTCACCTCACATGACTTACCCCGCCCCGTTGACACCCCCTTTTCAGCATCTAGACTCAATGTTTGCAAAACTTGTTGCCGGTTGCAGTTTCTGTTCAAAGTGTGTGTGGCAGTGTTTCTTTTTTATTTCAATTAATTTTGGGGTCAGTGGGTTTGTAAAACAAACGGAAACAGCCAGAGGCTGCAAAAAAATGTAAATACAGACGATGTGGGGAAATTACTAATCTGCAGTTCCCTGGAGGAAACACTTGATATGGAATCTACACAGAGAAACTAAATTAACTATATTTGGAAATTTTTCTATATTTAAATCCATTTGTTATTTTAAAAATCGTATATTAAAAATTAAATACTCTCATTATATTGTTATGTTGTAGTATTGGAAAATCCCAACAAAATAATTTAAAGAAAATAATCAAGACTATTGGCACTTTTTATGGGCAACTTTCTGCCGAGGGTTTGGATGCCGTATCGAAATAAAACTTTCCCAAGCCCATTGCATGCTGATACATGTAAATTCTCTAATTCGAGTCAAAGTTTCCTTGCGTCAAAAACATATTACCAAATTTTGATTATGATCATTTCACGATGGTAACTAAATTTAGCCATTACACTTCAACTTACTCAAAACAAACCATAAACACTACATACAAAAATATTTGTGTAGTTTGTCTTTCAGTCGATTGCTTTTTGAGAGCCCTTTTTTACCGGTTTCTTTGATCTGCTTTTCTGTGGCTTCCTCTTTTTCTTTTTTGTCTTCGTTAGACACTTTAAGCCAATGACACTTTTAACAGACACAAGTCTGAAATATATAAAAATAAATATATTCTAGGGCATTGTAGAGCATTTAAGAAAAAACCAGAAAGGAAGTTAGGTTAGGCAATATTTTAAATCCTTGCAAATACACCGAAAATTGATTTGTGAATTTGGGCATATAATTTCTGCGAAATAATGTCAATTTCTTGCCTTGATGTAGCGCAAAATAGTTAAAACTTTTGCCCATGCATACATATATAAAAAAAATTGGAAGTCCGTATTACTTTTGAAGTTGTATTAACAATTTGTAAAACGCAATTTAACAGTTCACCATTTCACTAATAGTTTCTGATGAAAGTTATTTATTACATTTTTTGTTCACATATTTTCTATTTGTTACTGTTTAATCAGGTAACTGTTATTGGCAAGATTATTGTTAACCTCTCGTCAAAGACTTTGCAGCACGAAAATAAATATCAAAATAATTTTCCCTGAGAGCGAAAATGAAAACAATAAACCGGCAAATGGCTTCAAAAGGCATATCAACGTGGTTATTGACTCTTTTTTTCTGTGTTGCTGTTTCTGTGTCTGTTATTGTTATTATTTGTTTAACTTTTTTATTTGCGTTCGCCTTTGGGCTTGTTGACCACCAAAATAAGCAGGAAGCGGGTGATGAGTCCAAAGAAGTTAAAAAATACATACACATGTAAAGGTAAAAAAAAAGCAAACAAATCGCCGGTATATGAGTCAAGTATGTTAAAGCTGAATTTCTTTGCTGTTGGGCCACGCTTAATTGGTTAATGGAATTGGGTTGAGCGAAATTTTTAATGAACCCTGAATTGTTGCTAGCCGAACTGTAGTGGGGGATCGCTAGGCCGTGAGTGTAGGTGTATAACAAAGGGAAGAAACTAGAGGAAGTTCCTAGCGAAACTAAAGACGGGGTGACTAATTCTTGAAAGTTTTGAAATCAAACCATGATCTCTAACAATTGTTGAAATTTAAATTTTAAAGTTAAAGTTTAAAGTTTTTTAAAAGTGCATACAATATTGATCATTTTTTATACCCTTGCAGAGGGTATTATAATTTTGGTCAAAAGTGTGCAACGCAGTGAAGGAGACGTCTCCGACCCTATAAAGTATATATATTCTTGATCAGGATCACCTCCTGAGTTGATATAGCCATGTCCGTCTGTCCGTCTGTCCGTCTGTCTGTCCGTCTGTCCGTCTGTCTGTTTCTACGCAAACTAGTCTCTCAGTTTTAAAGCTATCGAATTGAAACTTTGCACACACCCTTCTTTCCTTTGCACGCAGTATATAAGTCGGAACGGCCGGGATCGGCCGACTATATCCTATAGCTGCCATATAACTGATTGATCGGAAATGCCATAACTTTCGTGTTTGTAAAGTTAGGAAGTTGAGATTTTCTATGGGTTTTATATTTGGCC